CAGACCTCACAGAACAAACTTTTGACGCATATTGAGTTTCTACCATTGATATAAAACCAGGAAACACATGCAGAACATCAGGCTTTTGTTTAAGCAAATAGACCCAAGTTGCTCTACTGTAATCATCTACAATGGTTAAGAAAAAACGATATCCTTCTCTAGTAGGGACAGAAAACGGACCCCATGTGTCAATGTGAATCAGTTCAAAAGATTTAGTACACATGTTTTGACGAGAAGTAAATGATAAACGTTTTTGTTTTGATAGATGACAAACATGACAATGTTTATGTGTTTTCGTATTTTTATTTTTAGGTAAAACCAATACATCAGATAAGAAATCAATCTTAGACATAGATGGATGGCCTAATCTTTGATGCCAAGTAACAGAATCTATAAGCAAACTAGTACAAGCTGGAGACATACCTTGAAAAGATAAAATTTCACGTGAACTAGGTAAACTTAGAACATATAAATTTGCCACTTCAACACCTTGACCAATCATCTGGGCCTGAGTATGATCCTGAATAAAACATTCATCAGCAGTGAAGGTTACTTGAGAATGTAATGTTTTAGTCAACACACTAACACTCAACAGATTGAATTTGAAATTCGGAATATACAGAACGTTGTATAGAGAGATCGCATTAGTCAGCTTAATGTAACCAGTTCCTTCTATTTTGACTGTAAAACCATTGGGAAGGATCACATAAGTCTCATCTAAGGTTTTATACTCAAGAAATAAAGACCTATCATGAGTAACATGATGACTAGCCCCCGAATCTATAACCCAAGCTCTAAGAGACACACTGGTTTCTTTAGAGGTAGATGAAATTAACACGTCATTGAAAGAACATTTGAAAGTGAGAAATGTACCAGTTATTTGTGAGAGACATGGTACGGATGTGGAAGATGAGGCATTGTTCCTTTCGGATATAAGACTTGGACCTTGGAGTTTGACACTGTTTAACTCTGGAGTGATGACAGAAGAACCTTGAAGCTGATTACTGAGATACGCAATCATGTGCTGAATCTGATCTTTAGTCATGCTATTGTCAGTCTCTTTCACCTGAGATTCCTGATGACTAAGAGTAGCAAGATTGGTATTCGCGGTCTGCTTGTTGGACTTGCCACGTTGAGGATGACCAGGAGGATATCCATGGACCTTGTAGCATTTATCCACGGTGTGACCAATCCTGTGACAGTGCGAACACTTAGGTTTCTGAAAGCCTCCCTGAGCTAGCAATATCTGACCATTATCCTGTGGAACAGACTGCATTTGAAAAGCCACAGGAGTAGTAGCCACCTTAGTGTTGTTCCCAATCAAACGCTGACTCTCATCTTGATCTAGCATATTGTATATATCGTTCAGCTGTGGACGCGGCTTCATGTTCAATATCTGTCCACGAATGTTGTTGAAAGAGTCATTCAATCCCATAAGAAATTGAATGATACGGCTTGTCTCAGCGTCTTCAAGTAATTCCTTCACATGATCACAGTTACATTTCTTCACCAAAGATAACTTCGTGTTTGCAAGTTGTTCCCACAGTGTCTTCTTCTTGGTGAAGTATGTAGAGAGATCTAAATCACCTTGCTTGAGAGTCATAACCGCCTGTTCAAGTTGATACTTCCGTGGTAGATTGTTAACTTTAAATCTCCTGAACAAATCATCCCACATCTCAACAGCATCTTCATAGTATAGAATACTATCATAAATTTCCTTGTTAACAACATTCAGAAGCCAATATTTCACCATACAATTGCAGCGACTCCAAATCTTGAAATAACGATCATCAATAGGAGGTCTAGTCAAAGATCCGTCTCCGAATCCTATCTTATTCTTCGCATCAAGACTAATCTTCATCGCTATGGACCAGCTATTGTAATTCGTTCCATCAAGAGTATGAGAGACAATGGATAGACCTGGATGATCGGCTGAATGAAGGAAGAAAGGACTATGAGTGCTATCATATGATTCCGTTGGAATCGGCGTCGAGTTAACTTCGTCGCGAATCGCCGAGCCACGAAATGGTTGTTGCTTTGCGGAAACTTCTTCAGGTTCGTCACGATTCGGTGTAAGTGAACGCGTACGAGCTGCTGAAGCTTGATCTTCATCATCAACGAGTCGATTCTTTTGTTTTGCTCCACGTTTCGCCATAACTTCCAATCGAGCTCACCGGAGTAAAATCTAACCCTAGAGAATCGATTGTAGAGGTGAATCGAAGCTGAGAGAATCGAAAAACGAGAGGAAGAAGAAGAATCAAAGAAGCGAAGCGAAAGATCGCTCTGATACCATATTAGAATAACAGAATCTGTTTATGGAAAATGGATTCTATTCTCATTAACCGTAAAAGTTTGGCTTACATGGAGTTTATATACACTTGCGTTTAACCAAGATAAACCACATTCAATCTAATCCTAAGCTAACCGATATAAACCGGAGTACATATATTAATACACTGCTTGTGATCTTGGAGATGGAGTTTCCTCGATTCGATCTGGGGATAGCCCGAAGAGATGAGATCTTCTTCTTTGAGTGTTTGTTACAATATAGAAATTAAACGTGGAGAGCTAATCACCTCTGGGAAGTACAACTATAACTTCATCATTATGATCAAAACCCCCCTAAAACAGAAAAAATAAATAAAAGATTTTACTTTACTTCCAAGAAAAAAAACAAATTCACAAGTTTTTTATTTATTGAAAAGATTACCAATGAAGTCCTTAATAATAACTTAATGTCATGGAAATGAAAAATGAGTTTAGAACTACAACTTTGGTAATTGATTATAGATGTGGTAACTACACAAACAATATTTGATTTTGTTAGTGTTTGGTCTTACTTCTGCCCCCGAGTACTTTTAGTTTTAAGTTTTAACTGAAACAAATTAATTATGGTGGAAAATAATCTTTGTCATTCGGTTTAAACAAACAATTTTGGACTTTGAAACAAATCGTAAGCGTGGTGCTTCACATTTGAAAGGAAAAACGAGTAGATACATGAAGTGGATTTAAGTTGACCACCACTACCTATTGAACAAAACAAAAGAGTTGGCCAATTGCCCCCCACACTGTGTCTTCCTAAGTTTTCGATTCAAAACTTGAGTTGATAAAACCCAGCATATCATGATGTTTTTGAAATCGAATAAGTGGTGCTTTCGTTTGCCGTTTTCCATTGGCTTATGAACAGTGGAGTGGCGGATGTATTAAGGGTCCGAATGGTAACCGCGGTTCTAATTATATAAGCGGTGCGGAATTAAAGTGCGGTACGGTCCAACTGTGGTTCGTATGGTTTGCGGGACAAAAGCGGTTTTAATAGAATAAAAATGTGTAATTCTGTTTGATTGGTGAAAATAGCGGTATTGATTAAATATTATATTAATAAATAATTTATAGAGAATATTTTGTTTATAGTTTTTGGTTCAGTTTATAAAATGAAAATTAGTTATCCATTTTCTTGTATATTTATAAGTTTACATATTTTTGTTTAACTTTTTTTTTTTTTTAGATAAAAATCAAAGGTGACAGACATAAAATTAATATGATTATTTTTTAAACATGCATAAATTATACAATAATAAAATAAACTCACATCTTTTCAACATTAAATAACATTATCTGATTTACCAAATTTTATAATAATTTATTATTTTCTGCAGTTATTATATATATAAAAATTCTATATATTATATTTATTTTATCAAATATAAAATAGGTAATTTAAATACATGTATTAATAGTATTGTCAGGTTATGAATGAAGAATATTGTTCACTATCCATGAATATAAATTTCTACATTATATATAAATTTCTACATTCTAATATATAGAATACCGCACTTAATTACGCAAAACACATCAAATATGGTGCGTTACTTATTTCAAGTTCGTATTTCAACTTTTCTTCATTGATACTGCTATAGTTATGTCAAGTGCGTATTTACATAAAACCGCACCGCAAATTACAATTTTGCTTGATTGGTAACATATAAGTGGGTCCCATCATTTTAAGTGAAATACGTCCCTCATTGTTAAAAAACGCCGACACCATTCATTGCCTAAGGCTATAGGGGGGTCACATGAACAGTGGAGTGGCGGATGAAATCGAATAAGTGGTGCTTTTGTGTAAGACTTGTTGAACAATCTGTAGTAAAATATGGTTGGGTTGCTGTAATTAACACCCCACAACCCAGGGTTCAAATACTCATGACACCCTTTCCATTTTTATTTTAAAGGATTATACATATATGACATCGGTTAAGTAAATCTCTGGATCTGCCACTTACTAATTGCTCATAACTATTTCCTTCTCCATGTTTTCATAATAGATGCTATAAAGAATAAAACAAATGAAACTTTTATCAAATATAACAAATGCTGACATAACGCCACCAAAACTCAAAATATTCAATTATATGTTCAGTCTTTAAATCGATGATAACAAATTACAGGAGAACATTCTTACACATTCCAAAAGTATAATTGTCTTGATACATTGAAGATATTCCAAACACACATCATAGTTGGTTGCAAACAAAACATAAAGTTCGTCATAACATTCCGATGAAGTTATGTGCGTCCAAGCATAGTTAGCTGCTGATTATGTTATGGCCGGAGTCCCACTCATGGTGATTGGCAAGTGTTTTTCCTTGCATGGATCCTATTTCAATGGAAAATTGATGAGTTGATCCTCTGGATTGATGATAATCATGGATCGCGTACAAATTCTAGGAGAGTATTCTCATAAATTCCAAAGTAGAATTGTCTTGATACATTAAATATATTACATACACACAACATAGTTGGCTGCAAACAAAACATAAAGTTCGTCAGAACATTCCCCTGAAGTTACGTGCGTACAAGCATATTTAACCTTTATCCACATGATCAGCTACCCAAAAATATATATCGACAAAGTTTTATAACTTTTCCCTTTATTAAAATCCTTGATAATCTTCTTTATTTCCAGTGCCAGCCCTAAGACTCTCTATGTGTGGCTGTTGTCAAAGAATCTTTGCTGCTAAGCACATTGATAACTACATTATAAATAAATGATAGGAATAACATAAAGAAGATCCAAAAAGAAAAAAAATACCTGAATTTCAGATCGATCAAATGTGGCAAGCGCACATAGATCTCCATACATGGCAACATCATGAGGCAGAATGACTTGGTCGAATGTATCTCCAAGTGCAAAATAGTCTACATCTACTAACTACATGCACAATGGAAAACAAATAATTTTAAGTTCATATTAGACAAATCTAAATGAAGATGTACGTAGACTTGAAGAAACATACTTCAAGGGCTGCAGTTTTATAATCCCCTAGTCTTATATGCCTTAATGCATGGGCACATGTTACTTTTGCAGTGATTATGTACATCTTTAGTACATCTTCTAGTTTTCCTCTTTTAAGGCTAACTATAGTGAGCTTCAAATTTGGTTTTAGTATATTTGTTAGATGAGTACAAATATGTCTAGGGATGAACCCACACTTGGAAGAGGTTTGACATATGCCATATGCTTAGTAAAATAAACATCTTATGCAAATTTATATAGGAATGGAAGTTATCAACTTTTTGGCATAAAATTTTCAATAGTGCCACACAACTTAAGTTCGAAAACCCATGTTGTTATATTTTTTCTTCTAGTAAGTTCATTTTCCATTTACATTTTCTTTCTAAGAGAAAATATATATTTTCTTAACTTACTATTATGTTTTTCAAAATAAAATTCATATTTTACTTTTTTAATTTTATTCAAAATAAAATAAAATTCTTAACTTACTTATTTTTTACTTTTAACATTTTTTTAATTTGAATCTATTAATTTCAAACTTAAATTAAAATAATAACTAAAATGATTTTTATAATAAAATTATTAGGTGTAATTTATAATTTTATGATATTACTTACAAATATTTAACATTATGAAAATTTGTTTTTTCTTTTATTTCTCTTAATTTTCAAAAACAAATCATAAAAATAGTAAATAATGTAATTAAAATTAAATTTAATCAAATTTACTAAACTATACTCAATATATATATACTCCCCTACATTTCTAGATCCGCCAATGTATATCTCATCTTCTGACATAAATATTTTTTTGTTTTGTTTTGTTTTTGTCATTAAATATTTTGTTAGATAGTAATTTATTTCAAAACTTCATCATCCTTTTTTCCAAGGTCTTAACATTTACAACCCTGGTTGAAGATGGACAAGATTTTTCTTTTCTTTTTTGCATGGAGTATATGCTTTTAGTTCTTAATGTTATATTACAAATTAACAATAAAAGTTTTTTGATCGTTCAATTAAATATCACTGTGTTTTTTATAATGAAAATATGGAATAACTAGCAAAGTTGAAGTTTTGGGCGTCTTGTTTTCAATTTGTATATTAGTTTTCATACATTATATAATAACCATTTTAATATATAATGCATATTATAGTGAATGCTTACCTAAACTTTAAATTGGCTTATAAACGTTTCTTATGCATCGCCAAAATTATTATTGTTCCTTGTTATTGTTCTTCTCAAAATCTTATCTTGAAAACACGAGTAAATTCCTTGTTATTTTCCTTGATGCTATCTCACTGATAGTAAAAGTTGTAAAAGATGGACTATATTCTTAACTGAAGTTAAGACTTGCGCCAAAAATCCTTATTGTTCTTTGTTTTTGTTGATTATTTGGTTACGCATAACTTGTCTTGAGTAATTACATGTGTCTTCAAACTCTTCCAAATGATGTAATTTATGTTGAAAAGATAACCAAGTTTGAAGCATTTCTTATATGTTCAGTTGCTTTTAAGTGAAGCTAGAGCATGACAGAACAAATCGGGCATTGAGAATTTTGGAAGAGGATTGATCAATGGATCAAACTGCATTTAGGCTTTTGGTTCGGTTTACATCACGGTCGGCGAGAAACAAAAGCTTGTCAATCTTCAAACGAGGTTGTACATGTTGAAATCTAGGGAAATATATGATGAATACTTGAAATAAAAGTAAGGAAATTAACCTCAGGACTTAACAATCTAACCAGTTCAAAGATTTTAAGAACATGGGAGATAATCCATTTCCAAACACATAACATGAAACAAAAACAGAAGCTTCTAGGACAAGAGCTGAACAAAATCAAATTTTGAGCTTACATTTGTCAACTGTTTCATTGAAATTGTTATTGTTTCATCAATTTCTTCTCGTATATTGTTAGAATCCCAACCAACAAGCGAATTAGTAAGAAACAAATAATGTTGTGTTCATTATCCAATTATTTTTATATAGACTAAAACCAAGATTAACCAACATAACCAAGGTTAACCAACATTTAACCAATACATAGTTTACCACGTCAAGTGGTCGAGTTAACTCTGAAATTTTAATGAACACATATTGTACAATTTCAAATATATTGAACATGATTCAAATGAAAAAAACTACTGGATGGATTTCTCAACTTTTGAAAACTTCATTTAGTGTTTATCTATTATTTATAGAGCAAGCATTATGAAAGAACAATGATTCTTTTTTTGGCAAAAATACAATTTGGTTGCTGAAAAGCTAATTCAAAATTGTAAAATTACCAAATACTAATGTATTACTCGACAAATCTTTAAAATATCGATGTGGTACATAAATCATCTCCTTTAATATTCAGGAATAGATATATCAAGCTTAATCATTATTTGATAAATGACAATCATCGAAAGATTCATATCTAATAAACGAATAATCATCTAAACACTCCCAGACACAGATCTCGAAGCAGCTCCCTCCTCCATGGAATCCGACGCCGGCAGCTCCATAGCTCGCCGGCGTCGCCGTCTCTTCTCCGCCTTTCATCTCCTTGTTTCTCTTTCTCTCCATTTCAACCGTTTTGTCGACGATTCTCTTGTGTTGCTGGGTTTTTTAATCTCTTTCACCGTCGTTAGCTACAAGAGATGGTGTCGGTGCAGTCTCTTTATATTGTGGCTCTTGTGTAGCCCTTGTCCATCTCTTATGACTCCATTAGATCCAGATCAGACTTCTATGACTTACACTCCTACTCTTCAAGAGGTATCTTCTGAGATTTCAGATCTGAAGATGCAACGACGTGCGCTACCTTTCTCGTCTCCTAGGACGATGATTGTTCACCCTTCTGGGAAGATTGATTCTGTCTGGTTCTGGTGTGACTATGGCTCTTGTACCAGTCTTTTTTGGCCACTGTTCATCAGATCTTTGTGCCTCAAAAGCTCTGAACACTTCAACAGAACTACTCCAGCAAGGAACTCCCTCTTCAATGACCCACTGACCAATCTCTGTTCACCGCGAACACTGCTCATACATGTGCTTTCCCACGACAACAACGACCAACGGCTCAGCTTTGATTTCAGCAAATCTTCATGGTTCTATCACGGTAATGCTGGAGTCCACTGGTTTTGTTTGGAATTAATGGTTGTTCTTTCGGAAATTGGGGTCAAGCCCATCTTACTGTACGCCGGTGCGGAGGAGTCAAGCTCTTCAATGTCTGATTCATTACAGGGATGGATCCTCTCAGCTCTACTATGGAATGAGTATGACGTTATATCCAGGAGCTATAATTCATATTTTTCTAAACCTAAATGTTCGATTTGCTCTACACATGCTGGTCAATCTCTTCATGTGGTGAAGTCGCATGTTGTCAAATTTCAGAACTTGCTTCATACACGGTTGATTCGCCTTGGCATCTGCTTTGTGGGATATTCAGAATTCTTACATGCCTGTCTAAGAGTATATGCGACTTCAACCTCAAGACATTGCGTATTTTCATCTCCAAATTCGAGAGTTCAAAAGCTCTTCATATTCAGCCAGGTAAGACTGTCCTTTGTGGGTAAGTTTTATCAACCTTCCTCTCGACAGGGCCGAGAGAGATCTTCTTTCACCTCCTCTTTCTCAAAGGAGAGACTCTTTCCACCAACATCCCTCTTCGTAAGAGGTGACCCTTCTGTATCGACCTTCTGTTCGATCTCTACCGATGCAGCCTGGAATCCTTTGACAGTATGTGCAGGATTTGGTTGTAGCCTTGATGACTCGGGATCACTCTCCCAACACTCAGCGAGCGGAACCTTTGTTTCATCGCCCCTCATGGCGGAAGCCTTGGCTGTTCGTGAAGCCATAATCTTCGCCCTCAACCGTGGAATCGAATCACTACTATTGCTCTCAGAGCAATCGCTGGTCAAGTTAATCAAGACAAAGTCGATGACTTTGGAGATCTTTGGGATTCTTCATGATATCTATCTCCTCTCAAGAATTTTCATTTTAATTTCGTTTAAGTTTATCCCTACGGCTGCTAATTATAAGGCAGACTATGTTGCCAAACAGACTTTGTATTCTCTAAACCAAGGTTAATTAATCAAAACCGTAGTTTGCACACAAAAAAAAGATATATCAAGCTTAAAGTTTGTGGAACTGGATATCCATAGATGAACCACAATCGAGAAAAAATAGAACTTGAACTTTGATATAATATTAGTAGTGAACATAATTCTCATCCAGAATCTATATTAAGACTAGAAGATTGACACACACTTATATATTACTCTAGAAATCTTACAAGTGGACATGGAACATTTAATAGAAAATGAAAAACTACATGGATTTGTTCTCTCTCTCTCTCTCTCTCTCTCTCTCTCTCTCTCTCTCTCTCTCTCTCTCTCTCTCTCTCTCTCTCTCTCTCTCTCTCTCTCTCTCTCTCCAAAATCCAACTTTTTCTCACATCTTTACAGATAATTTGAATGGATCCGATCCTTAAAGGGGATTAATGAGAAATTGAATAGCATATCTGATCCAGATCATACTTACATGACTCAAAAGGAGAAAAATACACTGCTTATGATCTTGGAGCAGATATCTGATCGAGTTTCCACGATTTGATCTGTGGATTACCCGAAGAGATGGATCTTCGTCGTCGAGTGTCTGATACAAGATAAATTAGACGTGGAGAGCTAAACACCTCTGGCAATATACAACTACTCCTTAAACTCATCATTATGATCAACCCCCCCCCCCCAAAACAGCAAGAAAAATACATTTTATTTCACTTCGAAGAAGAAAAAAAAAATTCACAAGTTAATGTCTCATGGTAATGAAAATTGTTAGTGTTTGGCCTTTTTTGTTTGTTTGTGAACTAGTGTTTGGCCTACTTCAACTCAAAAAAAAGAAAGAAAGGATACTAATATCATTTTCTTTTTAGCTACTTCTGCCGAGTTTAGAACTCAGGGTCTAATATGGACCAAGATAAAATTTTGAACATCTAATACTTATATTTTCTTAAAGAATTACTAAAAAAATATTTTAAAATATTTTATCAATAATTCTTTATAAACTTTGTAATGGAAACTGAATATATATATATATATATATATATATATATATATATACATGTGTAAGATATAATTTGAGCTCTTATAAACTTAATTTTAAATATTGTACTTTTCAGTATAAAAATATACATACATACAAAAAATTTAGTATCAGAATAAAAATATATACATAATAATACTTGAAATTAGAATACGAGAGAACACTAGATTAGACTCACGAAAATCACACAAATTCTTTATCTTTAATTTGTAAATTGAATATGTCTAGAAACTTTCAAAGAGATTTTTTTTTTTATAGAAAACAGTATGCAACCTAGTTCATTGTTAAGTTGGTTCTTATCAGGCTATGTTTGGCATTCCGGAGTGAGCTATGAATTTGCATTCCAATTGGATTCTTTTCTTTTTGGCAATGTTCAGGCCTTACAAACTAGGACAAACTAGCATTTTAATTGTTTCTCAACTAATTAGAGAAACTTAAAACAAATAATGTATGATTCCTTGCATTGAAAATACAAATGCAAGCTATAGTGATATGTAATAGAAAAATAAAAGACAAAAGCTAAAAGTATCCTCATCAATGTTATCTTACAGAATGTTTGGTTACTGAAATGTTTACCTTTTGAGAAAAATGAAGTGGAAAATGAAAAAAAGACGCTTCATCTTATATATTAAAACAGAAGTCATGACTTTGATTCATGTGTGATTTTTTAAAATTTGGACTTCTTTAGACATTTGTTTAAATGATATTTGTTTTACATTTATTTACATAACATAATCATTAGACTAACCCTACTAAATTAAACATATTCTTTAATCAAGATTCTCTAGAAATTGTGTCATCGTCGTTCAGCTTTTTGTAGAGCACTGGAAAGGAAAAACAACCATCGAATGGAGATCGTTGATTCGAGGGATGTCAAAACTTAATTGAATGTTTCTACCGTTGAGCCTCTCATCTGATTCGGGTTATTTTGATCTCAATTGAAGTTAGGATTTTGAATCTGGATATGGATAGGTTGACTGATTACGTTTTCTTTAATTGGGAATCATAAAGTTTAATTGAAGTTTCGGTTTTGATGATTTTCCTTAGCTCACTAACAAAAGTGGTTTCTTTCTCTTCTGCAGTAAGCTAGGCAGTTATATCACATTCAAGCGGCTTGATAAAACCTCAGAGCATATCAATATATCATGCATGTACGACTTCAACTTTGACGATTGGTCACTTGATAAATGAATCATTGTCATCCTTTGTTGGGTAATTCCAAGCTTGTGGAAACTTAACATATTATTGGATGTTTAATATGTTAAGGATAAACACAATAAGAAAATCTAGAAATAGGAAAAGGAAGTTTTCTATTAGATTAGGTTTGTGTTTTCCATATCCCACATGTTAAAGGGAATTGTCTCAACTATAAATATAGGTCTTATGGAGAGGTGTTCCATATGATCTAAGAGAAACATATTGTGAGCTTTAGTTTTGAGTAGTTTCTAAAGCTAATAAGAAAAGTTGTTCTTATAATCCTTTGTGTTTCTAGAGATTTGAATTGGTATCAGAGCTTCTCAGGTTGGAGACTCGATCTAAGCTTAAGTTGAAGCTTCGATCCTGGTGCTTGTGACCAAGAGTACACGCGAGCAAGATGGC